CCCCAAAACCCCAAAACCCCAAAACCCCAAAACCCCAAAACCCCAAAACCCCAGAGTGAGTGACAAATATTGATATATAAAATATTAATAGAAAATGAATACTGTGTCAGAATTCTTACGTCCGTATCCTTATATAAAGAAACAAGAAGGACCAGACAACTGAATATTCTTCAAGGTGTATCTTGGGGTTATTCTGTTCATTTCAACATGTATTATGCTATTTGTGTTGTGGAGAACTATCAAATTTTATAGATCTTTCAAGTGTAACAAATAAGCTGATATTAGTATTCCTTCTTTTCGTTTGTGCCTCTACGATTAGTAGGACTACTTACTTTATATTCGAGTTCATATGGAGGGCTGGAGATTGTAGTATTCCTTATAATAATTGAGCAGAATCCCTTCTGCATTGGCTATCCGGAACATTATTTGCATTGGCAGTCGTGATCAATATATTTAACTGGGTCTATCAGACCGTGAAAATGAAGGTATTTCATGAATGAAAATACAAAAACCGGATTGGAGTACACCTTTCTTTTGCTATTTTCGTCCTAATTGTATTTCTCACATATATAGGATTTGTGGTATCCTCTTGAATCCTCGAAGAGGATGCAGTTATGGTATTTAACATAATAACTCTTGTTTATGCTGGCACCTTTTATCTAATAAGCCTGACCTTTATAATTGTTGGAATAAATTTCTACAGAAAGTACAAGAAATTTAGCGAACCTCAAGCTCGTCAGATCAGATCAAGAATCATTATTAGCATTACTGTTATTTCCTTTTCTTTCATTGCCAGAGGGACATTGAATATCCTATACTATGTAATTGATAAAAACTCACAGCTGAGAAGGGATTGGCTTAAAAATAACTGCGTGTGGTTTCCTATAGTAATGACCACCTATTTTGTGATTGCAGAGATTCTACCAACTTTATACTTATGTTTAGGACTAAAAGTAGCTACTAATGAAGCTGAAAAGAGGGAAAGTGTTGAAGGAGAGATAGAAAATGAGGTCCCAATAGATAAAAGGTTCACTACAATCAACTTTAAGGAGCGTCTCCACTCAGAAAACAGTATTGACGTTGAGTCAAGTATGGAGAGCATAGATAGTAAATAATTTCATTAAAATTCTTTCAGGATATGGAAATGTAGAAAAAGACTTCCAATAAGATCTTGGCTCTGATAGTAAGAATTCCTAGGATTCTAAAAGGGAAACCACTTATTTAGACTTATGGATAAATTAATTGTGCTCCTGACTTCTAGCTTTTAAGATAGGAAAGAAATGATTTCGTACCATTTTCAAATATTTTTCCCAATAATGTCTTTCATGAGGATAATCTTAAGTTTTAGCGTGTTCATTACACAGCACTCGTTGCATAGTAAATTATAGCTTAGAATAGCTTTGGGAACTCTAAAGCCCGAAATTACCTACCTCTGGATCCCAGAGATTTGCTTCTCCATTATTTCAGGAAAAGAAAATTCTGTGAATCTGTACTCTTTGACCGAGGATAAAGTAGGAAAATATTTCTAAAACATAGTGGGTTATTTGAATTTCATATTCTAAAATATCCGGTTATATTTTCAATCAGCCTTCGACTCGTGGGGTTTTGGGGTTTTGGGGTTTTGGGGTTTTGGGGTTTTGGGG